AGATGTTGAAATTGGAGCAGAAGTTGTTCCAAAGAATTTTCATTGCATACACACACAACACTGCTCAACTTTCAGATAGCAGATAAAATGTATATATTGGCCTGCTTAAAAGAAAAATCCTTTTATAGAATGTTCTAAGTTGTTATAGAACCTACTGAGAAACTTTTTGAAATCATTGAGGGTATTTCTAGTCACATTTCAAAAGTAATTCCGTGCTTTTAAATACAAACAAAATACCATTTCATTTTACCTACCAATCCAAACTTCTCTTCAGAACGACCTTTAAAAGGCATTCTGTTCTGCAGTGTGAATATGTCTTCAACATCTCTCTTACTTTCAGCTCTTACCTTTTCTGTCTCACCTATTCTCTTTCACAACCATTGAGATACTTCATTTTATCTTAATACTTTATCATTTAATATGTGAGGAGGCTCTTGGCTCTTATGGGGATTCAGCTTAGCAGTAAGTCTTGGAGTTGGGAGATAGAAAAATTACTTAAAAATATTTTTGCACATTCCTGCATTGTACAATGCACGCTTCAGATGCAGTCCAGGCTTAGGGTAGTTGTCCTCAAAATAAACTAATAGGTAATCTTTCTTTTGACATGCAAAGCTGCTGTTAAAAGTCTAGGATCCAGCACCTTTCTTGGTCCAGGCGTCTTATCAGTTAGAAATATTGTGGGTTTGATTGATACTTGTATTACAAAACTTGTTTGGTTATTCTAAATGACCTTTGTTTTTCCTCAAAAGAGTTAGAACAGTTGATGAGAAATAATCTGATCAGGAGCACAGTGGTGTTTGTGCCATAACCTAAAGATCAATTCTAATATTGCTTTGGTAATCTGTTACTCCTTTTCAGTGTGTACATTAAAAAATACTATATAGTGGTTTACATTTGTGCCAAGTGTTTTCCTTCCCTGGAAGAAACTAGCTTGCCTCTGAGGTTTATTCTGCTTGAATGCTGTTCTTTCCAGGATAGCTTTTTTTTTTTTTAATGGGAAGGGCAGAAGAGTAGGAAAATGGATTGTTACATGAAGAGCAAAAACTGTTCAATTACTGTAGCAGACAGCTACTACATACTTGAACACTGTATATTATAACAATCTAGGGGTTTTTTAACATTGTATGTGTAATTCAAATAATGTTGCAGGTTGCATCCTGAATTCCATTAATGTGGAACAAAAATATGCATTCATTTCCTCTGTTTATTTACTAGCAAAACATGTTCAAAATGTGTAATTCCTGCTATGGTATATATTAAATTTGAGGGGTTTATGATGTTTTATATACCCAAAATTGAGAGCTGATAAAAAGTATCTTCATTATAGTAAACCATATTTACTGTGTGTAATGTCTATGTAATGCTCAACCTGCTATTTATTCAAAATTCAAGAAATTAAAAGTAGTTCTTTAACTATTTCCTCTTTTTTACAATTTTCTATTAAAATCAGATATATGAAGATGCAATGGTATTTTTTCTTAGTGATCATAAATAAAGTGAAACATTTTCAAAGTCAACTGAAAATGTTTCTGTAGTATAATTCCCAGATACTGAAAAATCAGATAGGTGGAACACATCATGGTCTACACTTTTCATATATCTGGCCTTCTGAAATTTGTGATCGTATGTCTAGAACATGTGCAAAAATACACTCTTTTAAGTATCTGACTGCACTTTGGTGATGCAACTTGGAACAGTACGAGTTGAATTCTGTGTGAAAAATTCACATTATACAATGTCAGCAGGGGAACCAAAACTTAGTAGTAAATATTATAATGTTGTTCTACTTGAAGCTTATGCTTAAGCTGAATGGGAAAAAAACCAGAGGTTTCTTTCAAGTGTATTGCTAGTTAATTATTTTCTTTTGACAGATAGTAATTTAATAGGTTATTGTAGTCAGTATTGTTGTTTCCACAGGCCAGCCCAACAACATCTACAAAGTTTGGCCATTATTACGATGTTTCTAAAACAATGTCTCCAGAACGGTTTCAGTCCATAAAATGGCACAGTTTTTACCTTCCTGAAGAATTGTCTTTACAGCCTAAAGTGAACACATGGTAAGTTATAATACCACATGCTTCTCTTATGTGTTCATATTTTGTCTGCATGTTAGTAGTAAAGGATATTTTTGCATCTACACTTGCTGTGAAAAATCTTGTAGCCACGTGTGGCTTACAGGCAGTTCAGCTGTGGTTCTCATGTCAGTGCTACGTGCCATGACTGGCAGCAAAGCTGCTGTGGCACAGAGACAGCTCAGTATACTGACTCCTCAGCTGTGGGAGGAAGCAAGCTGGCAGGGACAATTAAGGCAGACATTACTAGGACAGCCTAGGACACAGCTGCATGTTCAGTCCAGCCCTACTGACAGCTGAGTGTGGGGACTGGAGAAAATTATTACTATCTGTCTGTGAACTACTCCCTGAGCACCATGCCCCATCAGCTTTCGGAGATGTGTGTGTCAGGTGGCTATCAGTCTTAGAAAGATATCCATACAGTTTTTAGGGCTAAGAAGACAGGCCATCTTTGACCTACATACCTTAGAATGCTATATCAGATTAGTTTATTGTGTGACTTTTTCTTCTTACGTCCTACAGCTTCACCTAAGGAAGATACAAAATTCTGTGAATAGAATTACAATCACTAATTATGTCGTACGCAACACCCCTAATTCCAGAGAAAATCATAAACTCTTCTCTGAATGAATAACTTATTATAGTTTATGTCTATCAGTAATGAATCAAGGAAGACCAAGAGAAAATGAGTGACAGTAGCGAAGACTCATATTAGCCTGTAGCACACATGTCCGTTGTGTCTGTCTTGGAGACGTTTCAAGTCAAGTGAAACATCAAGTATGGGCTAGCAATCTCTTTATTCAGCCCAGTCACTTAATTTATATAATACCTAGTTTTATAGATCCCAGTGAATAGGGCCAACTCCTGAAAGTAGTAGTACGGTATGCTTTATGGTGATTGATTTTCATTACATTACACTCAGATATAAAACCTGAGATTTATGAAAGAAGCACAGTATGAAGCACCTTTATTAGAGCTGTAGAAAAGCAAAAGCCAAGTCTCTTTGTAATTTGTTTCTGTGTTACACGATGAAATGTCACTGGTTTGTAAAGTAAATTCTTGCGATGTTGTAAAAAAAAAAAGCCACGCTTTCAGGAGAAAGCAGAGAACTTACATTTTATTCTTTCTATAGTAGATATTCGAACCAACTTTATTTATATATTATGTATAATTATTTTTTTTTAGTAGCAGGGCCATAGAGGATAGACACAAGAGTATCTGGCAGATAGGTTGCAAGTGCTTATATTGTTATTGAGCAATTTAACTCCCTTTCTGCCTTTTCTCTAGCTAACTAGAATGTCTCTGGGCTTCATTCCACTAACTATATGGCTGTCAAGTATTTGTACATTCTACATTAAAATCAAAGTAACTCATATGTATAGTATAGGAAATGGGCTTTAACTTTTATGCATTTGATTTTATAAGCCTTGCTTAACTCTGATATTTTCCTTGTGTGCTATCCTGATGAAAGTTCATCGTTCTTACCATATGAATTCTATCCTTATTTTTAGTTTTAATCTAACGGAAAGATGAGGTTTAGTTAATTTGCTTGGCAAATTGGTAGAGCACAGAGTGATGAGGTGAGGAACGTGATCAAATAAAGGTGGATTTTGGAAGGCTTATGTCCTTTTCTTCTCCCTGCACCCACAACATGGGTCTCCTTCAAGAAGCCTCTCCTGAGGAAATGAAAGAATTGTATTGTTGAGAGTAAAGGCAGGTACCAAGGTAACAGACAACCACCATTCTAAACATCGTTTTCTTAGACCACAATGCAATGTGGTAAGGGACAGGGAGGAATAAAGAACACATTGGGAATAGTGAACTCTCAGACAGAAATCTGTGGGAACTGTGAAAAGATGTGTACGTCTCTCTCTTCATTTACAGTAGATCATTTGTCTTCTAACTTTGATTATTGTCTTTCCTGACCACAGACACCACTGGTTTTTGTATTAAAAAGGTTGCACTAGGACAAGGTTAAAACAAGGTGGGAAGAAGAATTTTTCAGAATTACAGCCTCTGAAATAAAGCTTATTTCTCCGTAGAGAAAAGGAAGATTTAAGCTTCCCATAATTACAGTCATTCAATATTGACACACGTTTAAAAAATAAACTGAATTAGAATTTCAGCTTCTGTTCATCACTGTTGTATAACTAGAGTTCTTAAAAAATGACGGAAGTGAAGAAAAGCTGCTTCTCCCGTTACCCTGATCACCAAATTGATGTGCACCTGGCACAGTTGATATCAACAAATTGGACTACCCAATTTACATAAGGAAAGACCAGGTTAGAAAATACGTAAATGTTTTCAAGCTGGGACCTAATGAAGTTCATTGGTAAAACGTAAAGAATTGTCAACATTCCACAAAGTCAAAAAGGCCAAAGCAATGCCTGTCTTTAAGGAGACAAGAAGGTGAAGACATCTGTCGGATATCAGTGCTCCAAAAAGTACCAGAAAAAATAATATAATCTATTTTTAAGCTTCTAGGGTAGTTTCACCCAGTAAGTGTTTCCTTTGTTTGCTTATGGGTATTCGACTGGGATAGAGTCAAAAGGCTCTAAAATAAAACAGGAGATATTCTCCATTGATAAAGTCTGTTATCATGTCAAAGGAGGAATATAGACTGGTTTGACAGTTTTCTTTTTGTCATGTTGATTGTTAAATCCTTATCTTCTAAATAAGCTGTCATTGAGTCACAGGTGAACCTGAGTGAAGTACGAGGCTTTATCCCAGTGTTGGGTCTGGTAATAGTCTAGTACTAATTTGGCTTGATACATATCCTGAGCACTGAGTATCTTTATTGCAGTCATAATGTCAAATTTGGAAAAAAGTGGAAGGAGTAATTGCATGCACATTAGATAATAGAATTCAAGAAGATTTAGGTTGGTGATCTGGAATAAACTATATGGAATTCAGTGAAGACGCCCCGAGTATCATCCTAGTAGGAATAATTAATTGAACAAATAAAATAGTGTAGCAGGTCTCCAGAAGGAGATCTGGGGTTATAAAGTATCTTGAACATAAAATATATTAGCAGTGTTGTGTGATTAATGCTACCGAAAAGCATAATTTAAAAAGCATGGAGGTGATAAACTGGAATTTAATGTGGAAGACATGCAAAGTAGTTCTGTTTTGCTCAGCCGTAACAAGGCTGTCCAGTTTTTGATAGCATCCTTCAAGAAAATTCTGGATCAGTTAGAGAAGGTTGTGAAGATGGGTATACATCTAGAACTGGGATGTATGGCCCATGACGGAAGAATGGAAGTTCTTAGACAAATCTAAGCAGAGTCTTGAAGCATGTTAAAAACTGACATGCAGAGGGTAGTAACTCTGTTGTCTGCTGAAGGTAGGACAAGCAGTAGTGGGCTACAGTAAACTGTAGCGGTAGAAATACAGGCTGGAAATAAGGAGTTATTTTTCTAATGATTAGCATGAGAAGTTGCCCTGCAAACGCAGGTTGGGAGTATTGTAGAATCTCCATCACTGAAAATTTCTAAGGACAAGTTAGGTAAATATCTGTCAGAGATGGTTTAGATGTAGTTCATCTTGCCTTGGGGCAAGAAAATAGACTACCTGACCTCTTGAGGTCCTTTTCATCCCTATCTTCTGTGATTCTTTAATGCACATTAGTCACAGTGTATTAAATCCAATATTAAGTATGAATGTTACCAATCATTTCACTGCTCTCAAAACATTTATGCTTTTACAGAAACCCAGCAGGCTTGTACTGTATTTTTTACAGATACTGTGATGAAATTCTGAAGGAAGGATTCCTTTCTCAAGGAATGAAAACAAGCTCAGAATCCTGTCAGGATGCTTTCATTAAGGAAAGTTTATAAAAGGGGGAGGGAAAGGATATTATTTTGTTGGCATTACTGTTTGGAAAATCAATACAATGCTTATGCTTCTAAAGCTAACTTCAATATATCATAGAATAGTAAAAATTTCTGTTCTCTTGATTAACTAGACAATGATTTGAAAGAAAGTAATATGATAGTCACAGTTAACCCTTCCAATAGAAGTCAACAATTTGTATGAGACCTCATCTTTGATTGCCTGAAGGTCCCACTGAGAGCTTGAGCTAACCTCTTTTACTCTGTGTTACAGTGAACTAGAAGCATGGACATGGCTAGTTAGCATGTCTCCACTTAGAGGATGTAATTTCTTAAACACAAGGTTCTCAGACTATGGTCTTAGATGCATAGCCAAAAACCCACCTTGTCACATAATGTTAATTACCTATATAGCATTGCGAAATCTTTGTAATCTATTAGGCTGACAGTACCTCAAAAAAAGTACTGATAGCCTGGAAGGATCTAAAAAAAAGGTTACAAAAATGACTTGAAATTCAGAAAATCTCTAAAATTATGATTTTTTCAATTTCATTTATCAAAAGAAGATTGACAGAAAATGTGTTAACGCTGAAAGCTGACAAATCCTTCAAAAATAAGGAGACGTTTTTAAGAAAGGGGATAGTTCATTATTGAAATAATTTACATTAATAGGCTATGTTTTGTGGATTGTTTGGGAAAGATTTCATGGCTTTCTAAAGGGTATACTTTGCAAGATATGTATCAGTAAAGACAATTCTGAATGAAATTTTCTCTTAAATTGTGTAGGAGTACAGACCAAAATCTGTGGTGTGGTTTTCGTTGTTTTTTTTTTAAATCTAAGCATGTTTTGCTTTTGTCACTAATACAGAGGTTGAGGAGGAAGTGGAAACTGATAGTTTTGCCTAGTATATAATTTTCCGTAAGTAAATGGTATTGTTGTTGACGGATGATACCTCTTTATAGTGTCAGAAGTTGCAAAAAATTAGGAATCAGTGGAGGGGGGCGGGGGAGGAAGAAAAACTTTTCCCTCTTCTCAAAATGTTTCCACATTATTTTAGCTAGCATGATCCATTCTAAATATTTGTAATGTAGCAGAGCACAGCATGGTTTAAGTTCAGGCTGAAACAAATTGTTATAGTCCTGTGTAACTACAGCCATTGAAGAGACACCTTAAATTATGTAGTTATCGTGGAAAGTGTACCTAACCCAACTAACATATTCTACAGTCATAAGCTATATGTTCTGCAATGACAAGCTAGTAATTGTAAAGAAAGATTTTACAAGCTCAGTATATTTTTTTATTGCACTTTTTTGATTAAATTATCATATGTACTGATGTGAGCGAAGCATTCCCTAAGTGTTGTCCTTTTTGGGTGGTTTTTTTTTCTGTTTTCCTGATAGAGACCTGCTACTTTTGTATGTAATTAATGTTCCTCAAAGAATGTACTTAATCTGTAACTTGTTAAGATTCACCTAGAATTCACCTTGTTGACCAGCTTTACTTTTCCCTTTCTTTTTCACTTGGAGGGTGATTAGCTTTGGAGGCCTTAGGTTTCATTTTTCCTCCTTGAAATTTGGAACAGTTCTCTTCCCCCACCCTTCTTTTCTTTGGGAAGTGGTGGGGAGCAAGAAGAACAATCCTTTGCCCTGCTTGCCTTTCACCACTCGGGGATGTAATGACAAAAAACAGATTATGCAGTTAAAGCAGAAAATATACAAAAAAAGTAATGTACCACATTTTCCTGTACAGCTTATACTCTCCTGACAGAAGGTGAGTATAGTGAACATATATTTTACAATCCTTGGAAAAATAGTGCTGCATCTTTTAATAAGCAAGGTCCTTTGTCATAATATTTTGTGGCATAAGAACCACGTATTTGTAAAAAGGAGCAAATCATCTTGGTGCTTCTAATTCTCTAGCATCACATTAAGAAACCTATTTTATTTAAACTGTTCTTCAGTGAGTGAATTGTCTCTGTAATTGTAGCTAATGTCTATTGCAAGAGAATTACAGTGCTTCCCTTGCAGGATCAGAGACGTAGAGGCTTTATTTGGGCCAGAAACTCTTGGCCCTTTTTAGAAATCACGTACATCTATACATATGTCTCTCTTCCTATCCACACAAGCACTTGGCTTCTTTATGGACTTGCAAAGAAAGGAGATTCTTTGACTCATTAGACAGAACTAAGTTATTGACTGGCCTTTTACTTTAAAGATCAGATTTGGAGGTTATATACATTATTTGCTTACCTTAAAGTTGGGATCAATCTTTCTTTTCTTTCCTGTGTTTTTGCACGCATGTGTGTGTATCTGCTTTTTGACGGAGGGAGATGAGGAGTACTGTGTTTGCGCTCCTTTCTGTAGTTCTGGTACCTGATGCTAAAGTAGATTACAGGGTCCCCTTTTGGATAATCACTCAAGATGGGTAGAAGTTCATTGCCCCATGATAAACATTAATTGAAAACAAATTGGGAAGTCCGTACTCCTAAAGGAAGTAGTAAATGGGACTGGGTGTTTGGTGCCAAAAGAACGCATAAACCTTCTCTTTCTTATCTCATTATTTTTTATGTTAGGGAAGGGCAGTTATGTCCTGGCCCTAATGCTAGGACTAGGTTAACTGGGTTGTGCAGCTGACAGCAACTGTTTTCCGGTTGATGTTGCTAGGATATTCTGGTGTCCTCTTCATTGCATTGCTAAAGCTGGTACTTAACAGGAAGGCAGAAATATCCTCTATGATAACTCTGTGCATCGCAGAAAAGGCTTACTTTCTACCCCTCTACTTCTATCCTTGTTGTTCAGTTGCAATTACCAAAAGAGAAAGTTCGATAGTTAAGGGAACTAAAATAATTAAGCTGTAGTTTTTCAATAATATTCTACCTTAAGAATGTATGTGCTTTTGAAAAAGAATAAATTTATCTGGAGTCTAGATTTACCGATAAATTTAGATAAAACAAGCTTAACTGTCTTGCCTAATGGGGTCTCCTTATACATAATAAGGCTATTTGTCATACCCTTGATAACCTAACCTTTGTTAACTGCTTAGAAACTATCAACAGAGAACTCAGAGGCTCTGTTGTAACCGGGATACCTTCTTGCCAGCTCCTGCTTTATCCATTACTAAATTGCTAAACAAAAAAAGGAGTAAAGAAGGAATTGTTTAAACTCATTATCAGAATTAAATGGTGTTTAGTAACAAAGCCAAAAAAAGACTAGAAATTAGAAAATAAGAAATATCTTCTTTCCTTCCTTAAATATTATGACAAACATTGCCAGAAGGGTAATGCAACTTGTTTTTATAAATAGTGTTTCTGCAATATTTTCCATGTGCTTATTTATATAGCATGGTTCAAATTCAAGTAAACCATTAATATTTTCGCAAGAAGCAGAAGAGCACCTATTTTTACATTTTAAAGAAATCTATATGCATTACATTATTATTTCCTTTAATTCTTTCTTTGCTGCAAATCTTTTTCTGATGGATTAATTGAAGATCTCCTTTATTTGTTTGTTTTAATTTTGGGACCCTTTAATTCTGCTAATGCTTTAGGTATTTTATTCTTTTATCCACTAACTTTTAAAAGCAAGTTAGTAACAAATCAGGAATTGGCAAGTATTGTGATTGCAGTATACTCTCTGGCATCCCTATAGATATATGGTAATACTCATAAGCAAAATAAGTGATAGATACACAAACTTGAAAATGCTAGTTTGTGGTGTCAAAGACCACAGTCGTCTTTTTGTATTACACATACTGTGTTCCTGGCTATGGCTACAAGATAGTTGCAAACTCCTTCCTAATGTTGAGCCGCAATTTCTATCTTTTTCCAAAAGGATAAAGGAATATCCATAAGGATACACGAATGCTTCTGGTTATTGTGAAGTGCTGCAGATTCTCTCCAGCGCTGGCAAAACTGGGAAGAAATCGCAGCGCTGTGTAAGCAACAAGGGTTGTGTGTGTGTTGCGATAATGTGAAGACATGGAGAGAGAAGACATTTTGGCTAGCGTGGAGGCTAAATCCCTCTTCCCCTCCACCTACCCTGTAAACTGACACCTGCAAGACAGTGTAGGTATAACATTTAACAGCCATTCCTTTTGCAACTAAATGCTAGGAAAGTAATTGACCTCATAAGCGAAAGTTTACTCTTTCTTTTCTCTTTGAGGTGCTCTTTTTTGTATAGCAAGGCAGACTTTACATGTTAAATGTCATGTTGAGATTATATAATGCCAGTTGTCTTCAGCTGTGAATTTCATAGAGAGTATTAAATTATTAAGGTACATCAGTTTAACCAGTAGCCTTCCAGAGTATTAAATCTGAAAACAAATAAACAGAGTTTAATTTGGAAACTCTCCCTTTTATTTGTATCTGAGAAGAGTCATCTCTTAATGTTTTCTGACATTGAGTATTTCAAAACTCAAAATTCTTATGACTATATGACTTTTTTTGATTGTAGATGTCAATAACTTAAATGTATTGGAGGAGTTGGGTTTGGGTTGATACTGTTGAAGGAAATGTAGAATTCTGAGTTAAAGCAATGGTGTAAAAGACATGTTTGCAACTCTTAAGTGCTTCTCAGAAAGGTTGTCTTCTCTCCTGTGCAAAAGTGTGAAAGCAAGTTTATTTGGGTTTATTTAGGTGTTCATTAGTAAAACACATTTGGATAACAGTTTTGGCTCTTACTAAAGTAACCTGAATAGTTTCATTAATGTTTGCACCAGGTGATCTTTCGAGGTCCCTTCCAACCTGGGCTGTTATCAGACCAGACATATAAAATGATTGGAGCAAGTAAGAATATTAATTAATTTGAATTAATTTTCAAAATAATCTGTCGTATTTCCCAAGAAGTACACAAGAAGGTTTGAATCCACAACCCTTGATGGTAATTAGTGAGACTAGGAGGAAATGCCGAAGCTAGAAAAGATAGAAGGACTTAAACTCTCAGCTGCAGTGAGGAACCTACATCAAGTCCAGACACACAAGCCAGTATGCTCTATAGGATTTAAGAAAACAGTATGTCTCTTTTAAAAGTGAACAACTGGCTTGCTTTTTTAAAGTGAAGATTAGGATTTTCTGTCCTTTGTATGTGTTAACCTGTGGACTGGAGAGCATGGCTGGGATGGATATCTGAAGAAGTGCTTTGGACATGCAGGAACTGGACCTTCTAAGACTTTGATGAGACAATTTGCTGAACTTTCATTTGGTTTTAAGTCTGCTTAAATCCATTTATAGCCACTGGTTTGCTTTTTTTTTTAATTTTATGTTATGTTTTCTAAATAATACCTAAAATAAATTCTACCTCACAATTCCACTGTCATGCAAATAAAGCAGTAATAACACCTGTAGTGTATGGATACAAAATGGAACTGTAGCGTAGCAGACTGTGGTACCTATCGAAAAAAAATACTTAAAAAAAAAAAACCCTACCAAATTAACTACATTAACTTTTTAATGGTGAAAATGTTGTCTCTTTCATTTTTTGTTGATTTTGATTGTTGTAGCAGTTGTATGTATTAAAGTTTTCAGTAATAGAAAGTCAACTCTGTTCATCAGGGTATTTTAAGGTATACTCGGAATAGCAGTTGGGTAGATCTTTGTCAGTTATAGAAGATTAGTACTGTGCTGTAATGGTTTCAATTTTAAGTTGGTACATTAAATCATTAATCTTCTAGATGTAAGTGAGCCAGACATAATTAAGTTATCTTAATCCCTAGAGATTTTAGCTTTCACTAAATGTCTGAGCACTGAACTAGTTAACATGAAGCAATCACAACTGCTTATAATGTCAACTTTATTCAAAGAGGTTTGGGTTTTGTCTTTTGTGACACTTTTTTTTATATGACACTTTTGGACTGAAAGCTGCATCTGCCTTACATTTATTTTTAATACAGCTGTTAGAGACGTATAGGAGAGTATTAAAATGCGTTACTAAACTATTTCTTCTTACCAACAGTAATATGAACAGTGCTTACGCAAGGCTGCTTGAGTCCATCCAGAGGATCATTTATCAGGAAGGGTTTGATGGCTCTGATCCCCAGGTACTGAAGACTCTCTTACTCTTCTATAATCCTGTAACTAATATTGTTTTCTGAATTTTCAAGGGTGGCACAAGAAGGTCTTGGACAAAGTAACAAGGAACAAGCTGTTTCTAAGCATTGCTAAAGTAAACAAACAAAGTAAATAGAGAGTGTGGTTCATATTTTAATGTTCATTTGGAGTTTTTACCTGTTACAGATGTGTAGACCATGCAAGAAAGAACTGTAAGCCAACATCAGTAAAATGCACATTCTGTGCAATTAGCTAATAAATGGATTGCCAAATATAATGTAATTAAGCAAAACGCATTTTCCCCTACAGTATTTTTTTCCAAACTATTGCTTTAGCAGTCTCAAGACTCTTGAGATTGAAAATTCAATCTTAAACTTTCAGATTCTTTCAATGTTGTTTTAACTGGAGTGGAGTGAATTTTTTAATGAATTAAATGGTGTGCATCTTTATGTAGTGAGCATTGAAACACAAGTAAAGAAATAAGAATGCTATTTAAACTTACAAATCAAAACAGCTTACCAGACTTCTAAAGATCTCTGTACTATTCATAAATCATAGTGTGGGTAATCAAAAACATTTTGAGTGTAACAACATAGGCTGAAAGCCCTTTTCTAATTTGAGCAGTGCCCTATCTATTATTCTTTGTCATCTTCAGTAATATGTGAGTTCTTTGGAGTTAATGGAAATAAAATAATAAATTATATATATTGATGCTTAATTGATAGGTAATTATCTTTTTTGTTGTACAATAGAAATGTTACTACAGTAGAAGTTAATTAATATAGATGCTGAAGACCCTCAAATAGTATAATACAAGACTGTGTACTATTACCAGTTGAATATCTTAGAAATCATTTTTGCAGGGAAGATCATGTTGGAATGGATGTTTTCATGTCTAACAGTATGTTTTAGAAACGTTACCTGCACCAAACACTTGTGTGTAAATTTAGGTTATTTGTGCTCAGCGTTTAGTCTCTGCTGAGATTTATGGGAGAGCTTGCCTTCCCTTTGGTGGCAGTGCCAGTCTGGAGAAGTAAATTGGTCGCTGACAGGCACCTCTCCCCACTCGCTGTGGTAGCCATGGCAACAGGCATGTCATCCTACCGTACGGCACCGCGCGCAGAGATGCTCCTCCCGCATGGTGACAGGTCCTGTGGAAGCCCGAGAGCTTGCTGGCTGCAAAGAGCAGCACTGAGTGAAACAAACACCCTGCCAACCTTCAGCCAGCAAACAACCTCCTACTGAAGAGATTAGGCTGGTGTTTCTTATTTTAGTTTGTATATTCCTGAATTTTTTTTTCACATGTAAAAGAAAATGAAGGCTGGTCAGGCCAATATTTTTGGGTTTTTTGCTTGCAAGCAGGGAAAAATTAAACATCACGGATAGTTATTTTCTGTACTTGTTGTTCACTGTTTCAAAATGTCTTACTAGTGTCAATAAAGCAAAACCAGAACTTCAATTCAGATGAATTTAGAAGTATATGTTTGCTAAATAATGTATATAAGTTTCTGAGGTGAAGCTTTGAATGTTAGAAAAAGAGTGCGTTTTTTTCAGGCCAGTTTATCCATCTAGAAAGCCATTAGCACTTGTGTAGTTGTTTCTATTTCAAAGGAGATAATGCATATCATTTCCTGGAGCAGTTTCTGTTACTTTCTTTTAAGATTCCTCTTTTCCACATCATCCTTTTTTTGTACACTCAAATTTTGTACGTTTCGAAGCAGTATTTAATACACACTTTTTAAAAATATGTCCAGAGTTGAGTGTAGTTATGGCCCAGAACACGCCTTGGATCTTTTTATCTTCCAAATCTATGAGAAATTCACCCTTCTGCTACTCCATATCCCCTTTATTTACTGAGCCTTCAGAAGTACTTTTTAAGTAGCCAGATATGAAGATTTTAGAGTAAGGACCAGCCTGTATTCTTCTGGACCTGCGTCCTTTCCTATATATAATAATAATACAAGCTTCTGAGAAGTTTGTGCATGTATGGTCGTCTCCCCTTTGGGTGGGTCCTATTGGCAGTGGATTTCATGAAGTTCGGAGAAAACTGCAAGGGCCAAAACGTAGCAGGGAGGTACTGAACTTTCAAGAGATTTACTTACTGACTTTCAGTAGATCCATTAATCACTGTCTGTGAATGACAGAAGCTGATGCCATTAATGCTTCATTTTTTTGTACTGTGAAGTATAATCCTTCCAAAATCTCTAGACTGTGGAGGTATAGAAATGTGTTGCTTGTTGGACCTGGATTCAAAGGAAAGGTTTAACCTGACTGGTAAAACTTGCAGATATTTTTGGCTAATTTCACATCAATATTCCAATGTTACTTAGACTTACTACTCCTTTTTACCAGTATTTGAAGAGGGGTCTGGAGAAAAGTTGGCAGAATGTGACTCACTCCAGCTGACAGAGGTTTGACACAATTAGGAAAATTAGTGAAAACTACCATTAGAGGTTTAGTAGACATCTGATTAAAATGGTCAGGCATTTCTAGGACCTAGTATGATTAGTTAACATAGGACCATCTGCTGTTGGCCATCATAGATTAGTATTTCTTGACTGTCCTGCATGACTTTGTGGGCCTTAGGACACTAATTCCTGTTTGAGGTATTAGGCTACAGAAAAGTTTGGTTGAAGTTATCCAAAGCAATTACCTGTTTGTTCACACTGACTGAAACATTTTTGCCAAGATCTATTTGGAAATTCAGGATCTGAATGATGTATAACCTAGAAATACGAGCATCAGTATTACATCCTTTCTAAAACCTCCTAGTAACTCTTTGCTGCTGATCAGTTAAGAATGAATCCTTTATAAAATGAGCATGGTTTTAAGTCATGCAGAATAGCACTTGTTTGTTTAAGAATATTTTGGGGTTTTCATGTTTGACAACAGAACTTTCATAGGCAATTATATTTCCTTAACATTTCTTTGTATAGTTTGGAGCTCAAGTTGGGTGACTTTCAGGGTAATAAAGTTGGGTGGGATTGGTTTTTTGTTTGCTTCGAGTTGGGTTTTTTAATTCTTCATAATCGGAATTCTTGCTGCGAAAGCAAACATTGTTACAAAAATTACAGGAAAAAGGTAAAAAAAAAATCCAAACTTCCAAACTGAGAGTGTAAAAGATCTAGTGGTATATCTAAAAAAATGTTATCCTACTCTCTGCTGCAGGCTTGTTGTTATAGAATATTAGACTTATGCATTTCTTATATTTCAGTTATCGAATAAGCCATTTGTCAGGGCCTTGTGGGCCTGACAGAATTATACTGGTAGAAATTCTGTTACTGGCCAAAATAAATACTTCTGATATTATCTGGTGTTTGAATAGCTTTATCTTTTACAACCCTTATGATTTAATATTGTGAAACAAGCATCTGTCATCCTTTATCCAATAAGAGAACTGATATTCTGATACAGTTTTTTCTCTGTTAGTATGTTGTTCTTGTGGATGTTCTTCATAAGAAAAAATATTTTTCTCATTAAAAAAGTTTCTTTAAGTTTTATGTATGTTTGCTCTGAAATTTTGAAATACCAGAACACTTTCTCTGCATGGTCAATATCCATTATATCTGGATAAGATAGTTTTCTTAAATGTCTGATTTTGTACTATTGCTTAAACACACATCAGGAAATGCATGAATCTGCTTTGGTTAGAAGTCACTAAAGAATATTAGACTAGCTTCTATTTTTCCTATTCTTTTTAAAACTCTGAACATCCGAGCCAAACAAATATCACAGAGAAGTCAGATTGTGTTGTATTATCCTGTACTATTATCCTGGTCTTCATATGGTAGTGTAAAAAGTTAACTTTACATAAGTAAAGCCTAAAAGCCTGCAAAGCCTGAGACTGAAGAATCCACCAGAGTTAAAACATACATCGCTTTCACAAAGATTGTAAGTGAACTGGCAGATCAGCTCACTGTAAGCCATGAGAGTTGGATAAATGCAGAGCCATGTGGTACTAACTGTGGTTCACAACTCAGGCTCTGTCTACCCAATATGGAGAAGGAAGTATTTACAAGAATAGCCTCTTGTCTTGTCAAAACCTTTCCTCTGGATTTCCAGAGCAGCTGTGCAATGTTTTGTGCTTGATAGTTACTGTTCATTCCAGCTGGTGGAAATGAATATCTACAGTTTATCAAAGCACTTTGCTGTAATGAAAAGTACCTGGAAGCTTTTATTTATCTAAACTAGTATTTTATATATATAAAATTTAAAAAAAAAAAAAAAGCTGGCCTTTAAGTATGAATCCTGAACTCTAGAAATGTGTCTTTATCGCCTTGTACAGCAAGTCTTTCAACAAGAGTGCTTATTGTCTCTCTCAGCTGTTGATAGCAAATATACCTAAAATCCTTCTCAAAGATCACCAGGAAAGGTCACATCAAATAAGCAGAAATGAGATTTGTCATCGTGAGACATGACATTTTACTTTGCATAAACAAATTACAACTCTGGCTTCATAATGTGCCCCTTCAGAAAAGGGGCTTTATCTTAGCCACTGCCTCTGTTGGATGCTCTTCTGCCAGCAGGGCAGAAGGTACTGCAGGGCAGCAAACAGTCTTTAGGTAGGTAACACACAAGGCTGTTTAGGATTTTACATGTCAAAACAGGTTAGATTCTAGTACCCAGGAGCTAACTAAAGCAGATCCAGAAACATTCATGTCAAGGACTTTCAGAAAGGTGTAGTCCTTAAGAGACTGCTGATGTCTCCATCAGACTCTATTTCTCCATAGCTGTGGGTAAACTTCCCTTCATTAGTTGGAAGGAGTTGACAGGAATGTAGATGATACTTACAGAGACTTCTAAAATAATGAAAGGGCCATGCGTTGGTGAGGTAGGCCACAGCCTTGTTCATTTAGAAGTAGTAGAAAAAGTGAAACTAAAGCAGACAGTCAGAATAGTCAGGTTATGAAAGTAACACAGCGGAAAGTTGAAAAGAGAGGGAAAAGTTGTGTTTGATTACTCTCAGGCCCTTCCAACAGACCAGTTTAGAGCTCGGAGAAAAGGTTCTTTTGCATGTTTTTTAAGGCAGTGATGGAGGAGAGAAAGGACATGAAAAGTCATAGTATTATTGGATTTTGTGTCAGAATATACTTACATTTAGCTGGTTAAAAAATGCAAATTAGTAGTTTCTGGTATTTCCATGCTGTCTCTTACACTTGTACTTGCTTATCTGACTTAGCATGATATCCAGTCAGTGAAAAAAATGCCATTCCATTTGTAATTTTTATAAGATCGTCTGTGATTAAGCCATGATTACATGTAATTATTATGGGTATGAATTCTGTAAATTGTATTTTTTAAATACGTTATGTGACATTTTCCTCTTAATATCTAAAAAATAACAAGTGGCTTTTTTTTTTTTTCAATAGAAAAAACAAAAGAATATTTTGCGGATAGGAATTCAGAGTCTGGGTTCCATGTTGTGGGGTGATGACATTTGTAGCAGTGATACTCCTGAAGATACTCATAGCCTTACAAAATTTCTGTATGTTCTCCGTGGCCTCCTCAGAAAATCTTTGTCAGCCTGCATCATCACGGTGCCCGCTCACCTTATCCAGGTAGGAGTGCTGCCTTTGCTATATTTCATAGCTAATATACCAGTTAGCAAAAATTTAAAGTTTATGGTAAGAAAATAAATGCAATTTTGGACATTTTGAAAATGCTTTTTGTTCAAAGGGCAAAGTTAAAACATAACTTCACTGTAGTGTTTCCACACTTTTGCGGGACAGTTGTGCTGCAAAATCTACAAAGACCTAAGAATAAAACCATCTTAGATACAGTTATGCCTTATGTGGGTCTTAGTCTTTTTTGAAAAACAATGAAAATTTCAGAAACTATGAAAAAGAAAAGAGAATCCTGCTAGTAATCTCTTTTTTAATTTTTTTTTTTACAATATCCCTACGCACTTTTCCACTGCCTTCCGAACACGGTTTAGAGTTTCAATACAAGACGTTTCAGTCTACTATCTTCATCTGTCATGGTCATTATGATGTGTGATCTTGTCTTTAAAGCCAGGAATTGAAAGATACAGGTTTACTCTTTAATTCTAATATCCCCTTGTATTGGGGATAGTCTTTTTTTCTGCAAGTGGGAATGTAACTTACAAAAGCAAAATTATTATTCACAATGAACAGAGAACCTATAATTTTAGATATTAATTTGATTTGATTATAGTAAAAAAGTGCTGCATAAAACCTCATATTATGCAAAATGTTTTCATAGTAGATGAGTTTATCGTTAGATTACATCCTATCTTAGGTAAGTACATGACTCTCACTTATGTACTGCATTTTGTAAAGGTGTCTGAATACCTGCAAATCTTATTTATCTAGATACCTGATACACTTACTGCTTTGAAAATAAACAAAGAAACTTGATTTTCTAGTTTTATCATCGCAATCAAAAGTGTATGAATATTCCTCTTGCAGTGCAAACCTCCATCTCCTTACTTAGCTATTTTTAAATATTTGATGGCAGTTTGCCTTTAAGAAGATTGACAGTAAAATTTAATGCAATGAATAGAATTTGTGAATGTAAAACTAGCATCCTTCTTTTTACACATTGGAATTACCTGTCCATAATTGGGACATAGAATCCATTTCATTGTACTCTTTTTTTATATATTATGTCAATAAAAAGTATGATCAGATTTTAGAGAAGAAGTCCAGAGGCATCTCTGAGAAACAAACTGAAGGATGAAGTTTTTAGTTTGTTGTAAGCTTACCTGGGAAGTTGATTTTGGGTTTGTGTTTATATATTCCATATAAATCAGTTCCTATGGAGTTAGGATTGAAATTATATCTCATTTTTTAAATAACTGATTTTTTAATTTTAACAGAATTGTTTTACAGTAAGTGCTAGAATATTCTGAATAATAAAAAAAGAAACATTATTTCCAGAATCTTTGCTTAGCAGCCTTAAGCAAATGAGAGCATTAATTTTTTTTTTAAATTGTTAAACTTCATGTATCCTTCTTTAAGCACTAAACTATGGAGAAAACTGTCATTAGGAGGAGCAAAGCTGCTGAGGGTTCCTTATACCCCACATTACTCAGTTCCCAGAGCCCTGCTGTGTAGTTGTTCCACTCTCCAAGAAGCCTGTTAAAGAGCCCCTGAGAGCATGTGTACAGCCCTCCATGTTAATAGTTAATTGGTGAGGATGGCAAGATGAGAGGACAGCCGAACATGTGGTCTCTCAGCCTCAAGCCGTAGACAGACCTTTAGTTATAATAACAGCAGCTGCTCACATTCTCACAACCCAGCTACTCACCATTCTGTTGCTGAGGTTTCTTGCTGGATTAAAAAAGTAAAGAAAATATCTTTTCTTTCTAAGAGAATAAGGGAGAGGGATTTTTTTTTCCCAAGTGCATCTCTGGATATGTATTTAATTTGATCAGAGTAAGTTCTATCATATGCTTTCTCTGTTGAATCTTAAAGTCAGTACACTGAAGGCATAGAAAATGCACACTATTTTTCTGAAAATGTAGTAAATTCCACATTTATTCCCTGAACTACTGTTTCTGTATTTTCTGTGTTACCTTTTGCCTCCCAACTGTATTAATTAGGTGGTCTACAAGTAAATTCTTCACATGAATAATTTCCATGAAGGTAAATAAAAATTCAAAATCACATTTTAATCAAGGTTTTGTCTGCATAACATACACAGAAAAATAGTTTCATTTTTACCTGCTTTGTCTTGAAAAATAGATTTTTAGTAGTGACTCATACCTTATCTTGTCTCTGTCAGCCCCCAGTACTAGTTACTCCAGTGGAGAAGAAATAAAATTCACAATTGGTAGTACTGATTTTCAACAGGGACAATGTCTTTCCAACCCAGACTAGTTTTATTTTTTATATGTAGTATATGAATAATGCGCATATATATATATGGAACATATATATATATTTGAGATTGGTTTCTTTTATATATTTTGCCAAATACTTTGCATGTTGTACTGTGACAGGGAGTTCCACAAATTAAATCTACCTCCTTTCTTTCTTTTTCAGAAAGTTTAATTTTGCCTTTACTTTTCATAAATTATATCTTTGTTCTTGGCTGATGAGACAATAAGATGAGGCTTCCTATTTTATCTTTTCTGTGTTCTGATTGTTTTGTATTTTTTCTCATGCTGCCTCCTTAATCTGTTTTTAAACAGTCACTTTTCTTTTAATCATATTTTATTTTGTTACAGTAATGTAATACAATAATGCTATTCTTGTTTGTTCACTTTTCCTACATTCTGATGTCTGCTTTGTCTCTTTGATGACTACTGAACATTAAACAGTGATTTTGTTCTTGATGCTTTTCCCTCTGTGGTACACATCCACCAAAGTGGCTTTTTCATTATTCCAGCTATTCATTGTCTTGGATTTAATAACTTTGAATTGCATTTATCTAAAGATGATGCTCATTCATCTAGTTTGATGGGACACTGAATGTCTTCGCAGTCTTCTGTAAGGCTGTATTTTGTTAAAAGACAGAAATTTAAGAAAAATCTGGTTGTGCACAGTTTTTTCAGAATAATTTAAAGAAATTGTAGTCCACTAAAGAACACAGATTCTTTGTGTTTTATTGATGAAACTTCTAGTGCAAACAGTGCATGAAGAAAAAAGAAAATTCTCTTTTCTCAACCACAGAAATAGGAATACATTATTCTGGAAGAGGATTTCAAGAAAATGACACTAAAAACTTATCCAATTATGAATTTTATTCAGATGATGCGTGACAAGTTTTACTTGATTGATATTTTCTACCAATTGAACATACTCTTATCTTACACTGACTGTCAGGTAATAAATATTGAGATACTTACAAGTATGATTAAAATAGTTTATGGAAGGTTATTTTTCAAGTCTTTCTACTACTTCTTGAAAATGCATTGTGCCTATGAAATCAGATGGTGCATTTGAAAAGGGAAAATTACTTCTGTTTTTAAAATCTAGCATTGATCAAGGAGGGCAGACTGAAGAGGGATTTCATTTGTTGTTACACTTTCCAAATTTAAGGAATATTATAAAAACAAGTAAGGACTCTTTCTGTATGTTAGTAGTCTGTGCGTTTTAGTACCTAATTTAAAAAAAAAACCTTTTTGTGCTACAGAGTGTGATTTAAAGGACTTTAATGTCACTGTTTTATACTTGCAGAAGACCTAAATTAGAATTTAAAATATTTTCCTGTTGTATTTTTTTCTTTTTCTTTAATTACTGGAAATCATTGGTAAATCCAAAAACATATTTACCCCAAAATACTAAATAATGTTCGTAATTCTGTTCCTGTTCTTCCCAATTTTGTATCACTTAAGTAATATTTTTTTGAGTAGATTATTATTTTCACTGGGAGAAAGCATAACACTTTTATTAAAGCCATCCTTTACTTTGAACTTGAAGCTGTATTACTGGTAAGGACTAACAACCATATTAGTCAGCATGTACCAAGGGAAATTAATTGACTAATGAAAAGTCAGTATGAATAAGTCTTGTTACAGAACCTATCCTCAGAGTCTGAAGTTCTGTTCAGCAAGGTATTCTCATTATTCCATCCAGTATGTTAAAAAATTAATTTCCTAAAATATTCATGTTTTGATGCTTTGAATTCACTGAAGTGCATAAGTTACTGTATGTTTCAGTGTAGAAAAATTCAGAAACAAACCTTTTCACATCCTTAGCCTTTTGTGTTCACACTGAGTAGTTTAGCAGCTAAACTCGAAGTCAAGTTATAGAGTGCTTTAGAATCTATCGCTAATATAGGATTATAAGATGGGAACTCCTATAGCTTGTGAATTTCTCACAGTTTGAAATCTTTATTGCTATGACAAGAGCTAAGAGTGATTGCCTGCCTCAGAACATTAACTTCTGAGAGTTCACAAGTGTAAAATGCTGAATAACCTTCAAGTGTATTTGGTGAGGTAGCCGCTGCACACAAATTTGTGTTGAGATCAAATGTCATGTAGTTTCTATATCACAGTTAAGCAAGCTTTTGAAATTCTCTGCAAAATAGAAGTTATGAAGATGAAATGGTCTTTATATTTTTCTATATTGGGGTTTTTTTACTTGCTTTTTAATGTTGCATGTTGCTTTTTGTTGTATGTGAGAAATACAGTTTAACAACCATACAGAGAAATATTGAGAGTCATGAGTTTATGACAGGTATTCTTTGGTTATCCACATAGTTTTCAGATATGAGTATTCTGGTTTGGATATTCTAGACATTCATAAAAGCATCTGTAAAATTATGATCGAGTAGAAAGCTCAGAGAAGTATACAATTCAAAATTTAAATTGTGGGACAGTAAGTAATTTTGTTTTCAATTTCCATTATTGTTAATAGTATTTGTTAATCAAGTTGCAGAAGAAATAGAAATATTTTGTTGTTTCATAAAATAAGTTTAGGTTGCCAACAGGCTGTATTTTAGCTCTACCACTTCTGATTTGGAAACAACTAACCATTTCAAAAACAAATACAATATACATCTGAAGCATGTGTTTGTACCCACATGTTAATTGTCTTTTAACTGATTTAGCTATATTATGATGGACAGTCACATTGTATGTTAAAATTGC